GGGGCCGGGAGGGTGGGAAGTCATTTCGCCGGGCCGGGACTGTGTGTGTGTGGGGGGGCGATGCGGGTGCCCGAAGGCCGGAGCCGCCACTCGCCGGTCCTGGAGTGTGTGAGGGGGAGCGAGGCGATCGCCCGAAGGCCGGTCGCCAGGCCGGGATTGCGGGTGGGGGGCAAGGCGGGCGAGCGGAGGCTGCCGCCGTCGCCCATGTTTGAGTGGGCGCTGGGGAAGGCAGCTCATTGAATCAATAGTGCCCTCGTAATCCTCTTCATCGAGCAAAATGAAAATGGCGTCCGGTGAGTTACACAGTCGCAGCAGTTGTGGTGTGGGCGGGACCCGGGCTTTGCCTTCTGATTGGTGGCGATATATGCTGAGGAGCCGTTCCATCAGCCATACACTAAGGGAGTGCATTTTAGAATTAGAACTTTGGCACCCACTACTTCTTTTATAATAAGGGAGAGATAATCTGAAGACTTTGGCTGAGATCCTGCACACAGTGTTCGTTGCCCATAAGCCTGCTGATCTAGCTCACCTAAGCAGAAGAAGAAGAGCTGGTTTTCATATCCTGCTTTTCTCTACCTGAAGGAGTCTCAGAGCAGCTTACAATCGCCTTCACACAAGGGGCACCTTGTGAGGTAGGTCTGGCTGAGAGAGTTCTGAGAGAACTGTGACTGGCCCAAGGCCACCCAGCAGGCTTCGTGTACAGGAGGAGTGGGGAATCAGACACAGTTCTGCCAGAGTCCGCTGCTCTCAACCACTACACCACACTGGCTCTGTATGTGGAAGGGCTGCATCCGTGGGGCACTGCTAATCTAAAATGAATGGGACTCACATGGAAACAGGGGTCCTTTCTGAATTTGCCTGTGTCATGATCTGGGCTGTGCCAGCAGAGGCCTACTAGGCCCAGAGAGCCTGGCTAGCAGTAGGTGAGGCTGGGCCTACAACTCCCAGAAGCCCCTGGGAGCTTTTGGAGCCAAAATGGACCAATAGGAAAAGTGGAGGGCTGGGAATAAAAGTTCTGGAGCAGCGGGAAGAGCTGTTCTTTCTTCCAGAGGGCAGAGCCAGAAGAAAGGCTGCTGCAGGGGGAAAACCCTCATCTTGAGGGAGGGGTGAGTAGTGTAAGGCCACTTGAGGTAGTGAGCTAGGGAAAGTATATTTAGATGCGTTAGGGCATTTGATTTCTTTTCTGTGCACCCGCTTACTGTTATTATTCTGCACCTTGTTGTTTGACCTCCTATAAAATAAACCTTTCTCTTGTTTCACTCTGCCTGGTCCTCACGCCTGTTATTTGGCCAAAAGGGAGGTCTGAAGGTCTTGGGAGGGTGCTCTGGGCCTTCTCAAGGGAACCTAAATCCAGAGTGGTGGCAGCGTCAGGTGACATCCCACCTGAGCCGTGACAGCCTGCCACTCCAGATTTTCTCAGTGTTCGAGTCGAGGCAATTTAAGTCCTCAGCAAAACAGCATCCAAACAACCTGGGGCAACAGCAGGCTGAAACCGGGCTGACCACTGAAGGGAGGGAATGTAATGCAGAATGGGGGGGAAATTTGGAATAAAAAGGTTAAACTTGATTTTAGTGCAGAATAGGGGGAAAAACCTGGATTAAAAAGGTTGGATTTGATTTTAGTGCAAAATTGATTGGAGGGACACCGCAGTGAACATGGATTTAAAGGAGGGTGCAGAAAGGGCCAGAGTGCGGGGGAACGAACCACTTAATCTCTCCATTCAGAGAGCAAAACACGCTCCAGTCTCATGCCCTGCGTTTGAAGTCTTTAGGAATACTTGCTCTGCAGGGCTGGCTTTGACTGCCTCAAAATACACACAGCGCATCTGCTCTCCACAGTCCACACAAACCAGGAATTTAGCCCAAGACGCTCAAGACCATCCACCTCATAGAGCAGGTGCTTCGATGCTCAAGACCACCCACAGCAGTTTCCACAGCAGGCTGTCTGTGTGGCGTTGTATCCAGTTTGGGGGAAGTGGTGTACGCCAGGAATGTATCTTGTGTTTACAATGCCAAATTGGAATCATCAGTGACTGATTGCCACGTGACTCTCCTCCTAGTGACAATTTGCAGAGGAGTGACAAGCCCTGGGCCAGGTGGATGGACACAGGGACGTTCGTCACTTTAGTGCCCCATGTGCAAAATGACCATCCCAGGTCAACAGACAGAACTTTCACGTCACCTCACTTCAGCCCAAACGCAACATGTGTACGAGGAAGCACATTCAGGAATAACTCGTCAAGCCAAGGAAACGTGCACATTACGTATGAATCAATCTTTAGGAGCAACTCAGGTGCGACAATAAGAGATTTCGTGAATGGATCCGCCATTATTCTTTTAACTGTGCAGACGGGGTTGCAGTGGAGGGGAAGGTTTCATAACATTCTTAACGCCCCCATGCCGTTTCTATGATCTATTATTTCCCCCACGGGGGGAAAAGATCATACCCTGTACCCTGCTCCCCCCACCCCAGTACAAAATAACCACCCTGGAGGGGGAATCCAAATTGTGAAAACAGCATGTGGGTAAAGTGCAACCCTCCCCCTGCCCTATGAACCCCCCAAATTGGGGACCTGCGTGGCTATAATTTACCTTAAAAATCACAGGGGGGGAGGCCCATTCAAGAAACTCTTGTCATCATCTGCCAGTTGGTCCTAAACTTGACTCAGGTGATGGGATGCTGGACGAAAAGCCATTTGTCACAGCCCCAAGCATCTTATGAGAATGCCATGCTGCTAGGAAAGCAAGGAAGGGGCTCTCTCCTCTCTCTCCCCCCCCCTTTTGTTCTGAGCAACTGGAATCCCAAGGACTGTTTTGCACTGACAACCCTTTTGCACGAGTTGAAATCAAAAAGGCAGAAAGGAAAGGGAATAGGGCGAAAGGATATATTTTAAAAGGCCTTTTCTTAATAAAGGCAGCTTTAGTTAGTAAGAGAAGATAATCTCCAAGCTGCACAAGCAGCACCTACTAATTAGTCATCGACTAAAACACAAATAAATACCTAAAATCTTCCTCCTAAGCGGCCTCCTTTGCACTGGCTGACCACTGAATATTCTGCCTCCAGGCCAGCACAGCTGACACTGCGATTTCAGAAGTCCAAAGCAAACGGTAGTAGCTTTAAACCAAATACTCAAAGTGAGAAAAACAGCAAGCTATCAGGATCTCGTACATTCAACCATATCGCAGCCATCTTTTAAAAGGGAATTCAGCCTTTTCTTGTTACTTGGTTATGATCTAAGGATCTATTTGCCCTTCCAGTGCATTGGCTCCGCTCTAATTGATCGTCATGAAAGCTACAGATGGGCGCCAAATGGGGAAGAGAGGAGATTTTATTTGATTTAACTAGCCATTCTATAATTAAACCTGCAAAAATTTTCTTTGCCGTTTTCAACTACATCAAGACTCACAGGATTTCAACTGAGAAGCAGGAAGGGGAAAAAATGGCCTGACTTATGCAAAACAAAAAGCCTCAGCTGGAAATGACAACTAGTTTTACAATGCCATTTGAGTGTTAATAGACTCTATCTGCTTCAGTCTCAGATCCCAACAATTTACCCTTCAAGGAATACTGCCACTGAAACCTGCTGGAAAGATTCGAGGCAGAAATGCATGGCTCTCCCACCTCTGGTTATGGCGGCTTTGAATGCCAGGAATTAACCCATTCCAGCCTTCCATGTTTTCAAGGTCATCTTAAGGTTAAAGTAGAGCCGATGGCAGCAAACACTCATCTCAGGGTCCGGTCTCCACCGAATCCCTCCTAAAAGGGAATGGGATGCAGAAGAGAAGCTGATCCCCCCCCTTCCATTTTAGCAACCGTTTTGCCCTTAGTCACGAACACCTTTCCTTTCACAAAAACGGCTTGGGGTGGAGTTTTGAAATCAGAAATGACATCTGTTTGCAGAAGACTAAATGTATATCTTAACTGGGTTTTGCCTTCCCTTTCCCATTTCAACTCCTAGAAACCTGTGATGAAGTATCCGGCATTTTTGGAATTCCCAGCATCCTCGTGAAAACTAAGTTTTCTTCGAGGAAGCATGGCTGCCTTATAGCCAGCTGAATTTCCTGAAGTGCAAATGTTCCCCAAGCCACAAGAGCACACAGTTAAATTCCCTTTGAAGCCAACAAAAGGTGTTACCAGGTGCTACCTCAACCGCCCGTCCGGTTTAACGGGGCCCAGCTCAGACTTTGGGTCTGGACTCAGCGAACTCCACGAAGTCTGGCTACAGGCCTGCATGACCGGACAGGAAGTGGGCCCCGCGCTACAGACATCCACCGCTGACCACACGCTGCCAACCAAGCTATCCACCCAGTTCTCCAACTTGGTGCCAGTGAGGGCAGCGTTCTTCTTCGCTTGCTCCATGTGTGCAGCACTGAGGGGAATGCTCAAGACAGGGTTCAGGCTTTGGAAGCTCTGCTCCATGTAGGCATTATTCGGGGGTCCGCTGTGTAACTTCAAGGCTTCATCTGGAGGAGAAAAGCACAAGGAAACAAGGGTCTAAATTAATTATAGTTATTTTCCAGGGCAGACAAAAATGTTTCGGGTTGTGGGGTTGGAAAACTTGGGGGGGGGGGAAAGAACTGAAACATTACAGTAGGGCAACACCTCTCTTAAGACCGGCTGGCCCAGGTGTGGACTAGCCATTAGAGTCACCAGGAAATTTTTCCAGTGGGCTGATGGCCTGCCCCCCCCCCGTCCTCCAATTGGGCCAGGCCAGTGCAGTCCAGGGTTCCCAAAGCCATGAGCAGCCCTGGAAGGTGGCTTCCAGGCCACACAAGCCTCACTTGGCTGTAGGAGGGCAACTCCCAGCTGGTGTGAACCGCAGTGAGCGCAGGGAAAGCAGATCCCAGCCCAGTGTGCACATGGCTGCCCCGCTGCCCAGCAGAGCTGCGTGAAGTGGCCAGGTGAGCCACGCAAGGTGTGGGGCAGGCTGGCTCCTCCTCCCTCCCTCCTTTGCGGGGGCCAGGCCCCCTTCCTCCCAAGCCACCAGGGAACTGGTTACACGTAGTCCTTCCAAGGAAGGGCTGATGGCCAGACACAAGCAAAAGAGGTTCAGTGATCTCGCCTGCACCTGCTTGAACCTCAGAGTCGCATGGAGAACTGTTCCATCGCGAATGCTTACTCTGACCGTTAAAAAGTCTGGGCCCCAGAGAGGCTTGTTTTCTTTACAAAGATGTGAGCCGCACCAGGTTTGTTCTTTCCTCTCTGTTCAGCTCAAGGCTTCAAAGATGATCTAATCCAGGGGTCCCCAACCAAACAGAATAACTTTTCCCGTGCTTTAAGGGGAATAAAAAGAAATGAAGGGAAGCCCAAGAGGGGCTAGAGGCAGAAAGACTGGTGAATTAGAAGGAAGACAACCTAAAGGGCAAATGGAACCAAAGACTTGGATGCTTCAGATGCCGACCAGTTTTTCTGATCCACCGGTGGCGGTGGCTACTATTCCAGCCACGGAAACCCCTTTCATTTGAATGAGGGCATCCGGTGACAAGCCTTGCCTTACAGCGGCACTGCCCGCTTTCTGAGAAGCTTAAGAGGCGCCAGGCGAGGTACCGGTGGGCACCATGCTGGGGAATCCTGATCTAATCTAGTAGTGCATGGACCAAGATAGCCCAGGCAGCCAAGGGCTTGTAACAGCTACAAATTAAAACACGACAGAGCAGTGATCAAGCTCTGTGTAACTCCTCGAGTGGGGACTGGAAACCAGCCATTCCAACAGGGGATGGGCAAGCGTTCCCGATTCAGTTTCTTTTCTACATTCATTCACATTTTTGTTAGCTAGTCTGGTTCTCCACTTTTTGCTGCCTGCATTGTACCTATGTACCCGCTGTTCACGCACGTAATTTAAGATTATAATACATGCCACTTGTATGTGTATTACATGTGCAATGCATATTTATCAATGCACAAATATCAGTGCAACTGTGTACGTTTCATGGTGAGCACTGGGTGAATGTAAAGGGAAAATGCCCACAAAATAAGGAATTGCAGATTCAATGCACACATGGGAGAAACAAAACTGAACAGAGAATGTTTACAGTCAAAACAGTAGGATGAGAAATTTGAAACCATCCTTGTGCTGCCCCAAATGGGGCTGTCTCACGGCCAACTGATAGTGCGTTAAAGGGCTGAAGGACAACTGCTTTGGCAAGGTGCCTATTTTCACAGTCTGGGGCAGTGTTCCCTCTAAGCTGAGCTAGTGTGAGCCAGCTCACAGTTTTTTAGCCTTCGGCTCCCACATTTTTGTCTTCACTCAGGAAGGATGGCTCCAGGGCAAACTAGTTGATGCAGTAGCCAAATCGCTCGCTCACAAGTTTAATGCCAGGAGCTCACAGAGTAGAATTTTTGCTCACAAGACTCCGCAGCTTAGAGGGAACATTGGTCTGGGGTGTTCATCACTGCAATCCAAGCACCTCGGGAACTTTTGCCAGGTTGGTCCCCCCCCCCATCCTCTGAGAACAGTTAATTGAGCAACTTCCAGTTTTAATATCTCTATTTCAATTTGCATATAAACAGCATAAAAAGGCATATAATGAAAGTGTTCTTGGGCCATTTGGGGGGAGAAAGGAGAGATAAAAACCATTTAATGAAATAAGTTTAACAGACACATATCACTGATATAAAAAAGGCATAAAAGAAAGAGAAGCATAATTAATGGCAGGAACAAAAACAGTGAGAGCCCAAACAGATGAGAAATTTTCCTTGGCTTGTGTTCCAAAACAAGACCACTAGCCTGGGTGCCCAAAATGTGTTGGATGATGCCTGGTCTGTGTGCCCAGTTGTTTTTTATTCATGGCTAAACGTCTGCATTTCTTTCTCAGCATTTGAGCCGCAGGGTGTGGATGCAACAGCTTCTTTTCAGAGACATGAAAACAGGGGTGGAGAAAAAAACTCTGCAGAAATCACCCATCAACAAGCATCACTTTCCACAGATCTTCAGGCCAAATCCAGCTGCTGAGATCTGCTAAATCCAGCCAAGGGCTCTTGCGTTGTTTTCGCAATGTCCCATGTGAAGGAGCTAAAGCTCCATCTTGCCAACACCTTATTAAACTGTGCCCACAAAGGGAAGTTGCAGCAGCAGCACTAATAACTTTATAGTCAAGCTTTATCCAGTGCCTTCGTCAGCTTACAATAATCTGTATGCAGGGGCAGAGAACTCAGGGGCACCCAATTAAGTTGCTGTGCAATAGACTCAGGACAGATGAAAGGAAACACCTCTTTACTCCGTGTGTAATTAAACTCTGGAATTCACGGCTAGCAGATGTAGTGATGGCTACAGGCATGGATGGCTTTAAATGGGCGTTAGGCAGATTCATGGGGGAGAGGTCTATTAATGGCTACTAGACATAGTGAGTGAAGGGAATCTCCATCTTCAGAGGCAGAAAACCTCTTTTATCTCAGTGTCAGGAGGCAACATCAGAGGAAGGCCCTCTTTGATGACCCTCCAGGGCAGCCGGGCAGCCACTGTGCAAAGCAGATCGCTAGATTAGATGGACCACTGGTCTGATCTAATGTGACCTAAGATTGCTTCTCCAATACATATGCAATGTTGCATCATTGCAGGGCCTGAGTCTTTAATCAAATTTACTAAGTGATGTGAAATAGTTATTCCAGGAAAATTTGCACAGATACTTCATCTCACACAGATGACCAGAAACAAGTTTTGTTGGCTATAATTACCCTTACATAAGAACATAAGAGATGCCAATGTTGGATCAGGCCAAAGGCCCATCCAGTCCAACACTCTGTATCACACAGTGGCCAGAAATACCGGTGCCATCAGGAGGTCCACCAGTGGAGCCAGGACATTAGAAGCCCTCCCACTGTGCCACCACTTCCTGTGGCAGTGAATTCCAAGTGTTAATCACTTTTTGGGTGAAGAAGTACTTCCTTTTATCCGTTCTAACCCGACCGCTCAGCAATTTCATGGAGTGCCCACGAGTTCTTGTACTGTGCCCTTTGTATTGATAGCCCTTTTGGCTAACCGAGCAAGCAACCCCCTAAGGATACTTTCAAGGTTCAATTTGGAACAAGGACTACGAATCAATGGTAGATCATGTGCTTTGACATGCAGAAAAGGTTCCTTTCGTGGTACCGCCAACCTTCTGTTCTCCAGCCTACCTGTCTCCAAACTGTCTTGGAACCTACCTGCCTCCAATATAACTGCTTGAGAGCAGAGCCAGTGTGGCCCAACAGCCAGAGAGTTGGATGCTGGTCTAGGTTCAAATCCTACCTCTAGTAGATGCTCCATCCATGCAAGGGGTCTTTATTACTCACCATTCACTCTGTGCCTAGAAAAGCTGAATTCTGTGACCTCCGTACATCATTCAAACAATCCCTTTTGATTAACCTGTTCTGCATTATTTACTATTTTGTATCATTTATTCTGGTATTCCCTGATCTGGATGGCTTTAGGCCATTGCGATCTTGTCAGATCTTGGAAGCTAAGCAACATCGGCCCTGGTTAGTAGTACTTGGGTGGGAGACCACCGAGGAAGTCCAAGGCTGCTACACGGAAGCAGGCCATGGCCAACCACCTCTCAGTGTGTCTTGCCTTGGAAACCCTACAGGGTTCCCCATAAACTGGCTGTGATCTGATGGTACACCTCACCACGGCCGGTAATTCTATTATGCACAAACTGTAGAACTCCACCTCTTCTCACCAGCAATTGTATTCAGTCGCCTTTTTGACTTCTCACATTTTGAGCCGACATTGCCCATGTGCTTCTTCTAGCTAATTTTTGTCGCTATAAGAACTAAAACCTTTTTTTTGGATACAGTGAAGGAAGTTGTATTACACAACTTCCTTCAACTGCCTGCAAAGATGCAGCAGATGTATGGTCTTGGTGGCCATGCAGATTCTACACACACATCTGGAGTTTACTTTGCCACCAATGACAGCCCAGATGTGCAGGGGTCTTTCAAAAAGAACACCGCAGGAGGCACACTGCACAGCCTTAATGTGGGTAGTATACATGGGTATTTCAGGGCTATGTTTGGGCAGGAACGCACAGGAACGGAGTTCCGGCTGGCGCTCAAGTTGGCCACGCCCAGCAGGAACTCATTAGCATAACAGGCCACACCCAACAGCAGGAACTCATTAGGATTGGCTACATTAGGGGTGTGTGGCCTAACATGCAAAAGAGTTCCTGCTACAAAAAAGACCTGGGTTTTGACAACAAACAAGGTAAACAGAATAACAAGCAAAAGGTGGGTGTGGCTGGATGACCACACTTCTGGTAACATGGGGGTGCGACCTAATGTGCTAATGAGCTGTGCTGCCATGGGTGTGGCCTATTATGCTAATGAGTTCCTGCTGGTCGGTGTGGCCTATTATGCTAATGAGTTCCTGCTGGGCTTTTTCTACAAAAAGAGCCCTGGGTATTATACATAGGTGAGACATCACCTAGACTCAGACAGGCTCACAGAACTCTCACAATTAAGGACATGAAACTGTTGTGACAGTGGCCCATCCTTGGTCACAAGCTGAGACTCAGGTTTCGACAAGTGCCAACTTGCGCCCCCCTCCCAAAAAACCCCCAACAACAGCAGCATCATGAAGACAGCACACATGAAGAGTAGAAAAGCAATCCTGAAAATGTTGAAAGGGCAGATGAGTGGGGGCTTTGAGCTGCCTGTCACAGACACAGCCCTGTGGAAATATCCACGCTGGCTGGGCTCTGGGCCTGAAATTCCCGCAGGTGTGAAGAATGGGCAGTGTCTGCATTTCTCCACACTGTCATCATTTCCCCCCAGTTCAGCTCTTGCAAAGTTGGGACTGGATGTTACAAGAGACCTTATTCAGCCCCGCCAAGATACACACCGTCTCCAGCACAAAATGCCCTCATTCAAGCCCCTCCTGGGCTTGCAAAGCCACATTATGTTCCAGAGGCGGCTGGCAGGCCAGGAATTACATACTAGTGTCTACAGTTCATGCCACGTCACCCGTGCCATCCGCAGCTTGCAATGAGGCTGATCTTTTCATCCATCCAATGTGTACCCTTTTAGTGCCGGTTATAAATCAGTGTGCTGTTGTCTCCCGGCCCGGAGGTCTATTTGGAGCTTGGCTCGAAATCCGAGGTTTCGTCTCTATGATAGTCTCAAACGCAAGAGCCCAAACCCCAACCAATGTTCCCTCTAAGCTGTGGAGTCTTGTGAGCAAAAATTCTCCTTTGTGAGCTACTGGCATGAAAGTTGTGAGCAAGAGATTTGGCTACTGCATCAATGAGTGTGCTCCGGAGCCATCCTTCCTGAGCAAAGACAAAAAATGTGTGAGCCGGAGGCTAAAAAACTGTGAGCTAGCTCACACTAACTCAGCTTAGAGGGAACACTGACCCCAACCATTCCAAAATTCCTCATAATAAAGCACAGCAATTCTGACGCACCTTGCTTATGAAGGCTATGATTTATACCGGGAGCACTTTCCCTGATGCTGGGAAAGATCGAAGGAAAAAGAAGAAGGGGATGGCAAAGGATGAGATGGGCTAGACAGTGTCATCGATGCAACGAACATGAAATTAAGCAATCTCCGGAGCACGACGGAAGACAGGAGGGCCTGGTGTGATGTGTGGTCCATGGGGTCGCAAAGAGTCGGACTCGACTGTGCGACTGAACAACAACAAATGCCAGAGCATAATATCCCAGTCAAATGACCTGCGGGTGCACCAGCCCCACTTGCTCCTGGGATGGACCAGGGAGGAGCTGCCAAGGACTGGAGCTGGAACCCCCACAAAGGTCCTGTGGTGCAACGGCCAGAAAGTGCCTTCTGTCAAAGCACAGAGCCCAAATGCGAGTCTGCATAGAGACAGCAAAAGGGGAGGACAAAGTCAGACTGATGGAAAAGTTCATGATTTGACGATGTCTTAAAGGACTGGTATTTTTCTACAGTTGACTCTT